CCCAACTTTTTCGTTCTTATAATGAAAAATGGATATTAAATAATATAAATTGTGAAATATTCGGTGATTTAAATAGCTGTTTTTTTAATAGAGTTATGCATTCATCACATTAAGAGTATACTAGTTTCTTTAATAAAATAATTCTTTAAATATCAACTGGAGAAACTGAAACCTGTTACAGCAAAGATAACGCAACGTATTCACTGTGAGAGTGAAGGCAGCCAGCGATTTTTTGCAGCGCTGGCTGGATACTGGAGGACTTTTACGATGCTAAATCAAGGAAAATTTTTATTATAATTAATATAATTTTTGAATTGTTGAACAAGTGTTATTAAAAGATGATGCTAGCAACTTCTTGACTCAAAAAAACATGTGAAGTGATTTTAGTATGTCTATACGTCGTACCCCATACAAAAAGTCAAACAAGCTAACCTTTTTGTGTTGTTTAGACAGTCAGATACATAAAATTTGACGTCACGTTTTCTTCTAGTAGCAGCATCAAGGCTAACGAGGCTATTTTGCTCGACTTTGTTATGGGCGTATGAGTTATAAACCCACTAAAATCATTTTACATATTTTTTGTAGTCAAGAAGATTGTTCACTTTATCTTTCAATAACTCTTGCTCAACCGTACAGAGGTTATACTAATTGTAAATAATATTTTTTCTAGATTTGGTATCACGGAAGTCGTCCGCTATCCAGCCAGCGTTGCAAAAAATCGCCGACTAGAGAGCTGGCTGTCTTCACTCTCACAGCGATTAAGGGGGTAAATAAGTCAGATAATAATGTTTCTATCAATTTTCCAATAAATATGTTAAACAGTATCCATGAAGATTTATAACCTTATGAACTCAGTTTATAAATAAGTATAATGATGATGGTAATTAGAAATTAGAGTATGTCAGACGATTTATGTAATGACACTCGATCAGGATTTACTAAATTATCGAAATACGCCGTAGAAGGAGAAATAATAACCGGAGGAAAAATTGGATATAAGGTTTCAATTTTAGAAATAACTTTAAACACCGGAAGCATCTCTTCACAACCTTTTATTTTATATCGTAAGCAATTTTAAATAGTTGCGGCATTTTCTATGTCTATTAATAAATCTCAACCGCTTGCTAAAATGAATTTGTTCCACTGTTTCTTTTTATTATAAAGGCCTAAAAAGACAAAAGATGGGAAGACGAAATAATGATAACGATAAAACCTTTTTTTCGTTTTTGTATGATTAAATCACTATTCAACAATTACATACAAAACTTCAAACCTGAACGCCAAGATTGAAATTCGCTTTGAAGCAAGCAAACGACTATCTTATCCTATTGAAATATATGAGTAAAAGTTTAGTCAAGAGTAATTTTTGACTCGGTTACACTCATGCTGGACACAGGCGAGTGATAAGGAGAATTGTTTTACGACATATTTAGTGATATCTAGGTACTGACCAAAAGGACGTGCCGACTCAAGTACAATGTAATACAATGTTTAATATAAAGTTACCTTAAAGTGTAGTAAAGATACAGCGAGTTAGCAGAACAGCCCGTAGGGCAATGAACCTACGAAGGCTCAATGTTTAATTTTAGTAAGTTGCTGTCAAAAAACTAAAAATATGTTATTATAGAAGAAAACAATTTCAGGAACATGTTATTTTTCGTAGCTTTTTTCCTTACTTTGATAATTAATTATAAGTATTAAACTAACTGCAATACATTTTATAAGTTTTTTTTTTTTTTTTTTTTTAATAAATATTTACCGTATGTTTAAAAAAATATTTTTAATTGTTATCTTTCGTGAAAAGGCGGCTATGATCCTGTTAAAATGCAACAATCATTTTTTAACAATCGCCCGGGTGAAAAAAAATCCATTAGACGCGACATTGATTTCGATTTATATACATATATTGCAATCCCTTAAGAAACGTATAATGTTCTAGTTATAATGTGCCTTAATTTTTAATTAAAAGGCAACTTAACCTTGTTATCTCATAAGAAACCGTGTTAAACTGTCAGTATTCAATAATTATTTTCTCGAACATCTTTCCTGGTGAAAAATCTGAAAAGTCCTAATATGCTCAAATACAGCATACACTTTTTTTAAACGATTCTACATTTTGAACTTTTTTCCTAACCTCCTTAAGTAACCTTCGCTACGAGTAATTTACTAAGTATATGGTTTGTATCATTTTTCAGATGCCCAGCATATCACCCACCGAAGGTACAGCGAAACAGTGTGTGTTCCGAACATATCTGCAGCTACATAAATGGCTGAAAATTAATCTACAAGCAACCCTTTGGGGTTGGAAATTTTCCTACATCGTACTAGATTATACTGACGAAGCCATAGAAATCAACAAAATATTGAAAATAATTGCGTGTCAGTGTAAGAGTGCTTGCAAGACAAAAATTTGTAGTTGCTTCAAGAACGGCTTAAAGTGTACAAATGTATATTCTTACTGCGAGATCACGCATATTATTTCAAATTAACCATTCGAAAAGACATGTTTAAGAACATCTTAAGCTAAATTTTTAGCTTCCTAGGTGGTAGCAGGGTGCTCCTATAGTGAAACGCGTGATCCTGCTGCTCCACAGTTTGTTGTAAAAAATATAAAAACTCATGAAGGTAAGTTTTCTGGCGAAAAGTAAGCCTGATTTTTACAGATAATTTAGATCAAAACTGGAACTAGAAAAAGAGTTTTCAATATTTCGATGCATTTTTAGATTATGTAGATTATGTTTGACCAACTGTAAAACAAGTTTTTTTTTGTGTATTTTTTTTCATACTTTTAAATGGTGATACTTAATTTACTATTTTCAGACCAGAACATACTCAAACATTTGAAAAAACTGTTTTTAGGCATTTCCCCAACTTTTTCGACACATAACCTCAAAACCTAATCGTTTGGTAGCAGTTATAATACCATAAAATACTCTAAGATCCTTTTCACAAACTTTATTAAAGTTCTAGAATCGAATATTACTTTGTTATAGCGGCAAAAAGCCTTTTTAGCCAGGTTTAAATACAGGACGTATTTTCCTGTCTCTTAAAGCTAGCTGCTGAAACGTACTTTCGCATTTTATTGAGTAAAGAGGGTTCTGGGAAGTACTCCTGAAACTGTGTCATATTCTTTTACTTTTACTGATGAAGACTCTTGAAGCTGCACCGTAGGAACCAATCAGAGAGCTCTTTAAGATGTTTCGACCAATCAGGGAGATTTTTGAGCTATGACTGGTGGTAGCACCACGAGTGCCTGTTAGTAAAAGTTAGAAAATGAGGTAAAATATCTGGTACTCGATCTGGATCCAGTAGTTGATCAGTCTTATGGTTATGCATTGAAAATCTAACTTTACCTACATACATAGCAATACAAAATACATGGTTGATCGGCTAAGTACTGCATCCTGATTAATTATCGAGTGTTTTACCTTATTCTCTAACTTTTACTGACAAGCACTTGTGGTGCTACCACCAGACATAGCTCAAAGAGCTCTTTGATTAGTCGAAACATCTTAAGGAGCTCTCTGATTGATTCCTATGGCACAGCTTTAAGAGTATCAGTCAGTAAAAGTAAGATAATATGGCACAGTGTCAGAAAAGCTTTGCAGAACCCTCCTTACTCAATAAAATGCGAAAGTACGTTACAGCAATAAACTTTTAGAGACTGAGATCTTAAAAGTACTAAAAATTACGTATTTATCAAAGAATGATGTATCTTTCTAACTATAACATTGAAATGACATGTCTTCGTGATGACCATATTATTGACAAATTACAAAAAAAAAGGAAAAATCAAACTGTATGGAGCTACTTCCTACGGTGACTTTTTTATTTTACAATCATGACGTTGTTACATTCATAATGCAGAAAAAGTATAGCATACTGGTATTCGTATTCAACACCCTTCAAATTATCGTTTTGGTATAATAAGTTGCTATAAAAAATGATACCAAAATTTTGTAACTCATGCCTTTTCTGCACAAGGTACCAGCATGCAAAGGATGTACGATATTTTCGATTAGATTATTAAAATTGTATTAATGGATAAAGAGACTAATTTCTCGATAAATCACGGCTTTTATTATGCACATTAGACAGAGTTACGAATTTTGGAAGAACTTGTCAACTCAGCGGTTTTTGGAAACTTGAAGAAAAACCACTGATCCAATCAGGTTCAATAGTGTCTTAATTTGTTTAATTTATACTGCATTATTTTACATAAAATTACTCAATTGAGGAAATTGAATTTTTGTTCAAAACGTAAGTAATCGTTTTTCACGATCTATCACGATCTTGTTTGCATTTATCAATAGAACTATTTGCATATGTTAAGATTCACAAGCATAAAAAATACTAAGATATACCTTTCTTTTTAATTTCCAGTAGTTGTAAATGTATAGAAGTGCATCGTGATCCACATCCAGTTGCTGGTTTGTAATATCTTTTAAACAGACATGCTTGTCAAATTCGGCTTCGATTTCTTGAAGTCTAAAGTTATAAAATTATTTGTTATGGCTACATATATGATTAGGTTACGTTAAACGTTAAAATGTTACTTTAAGGATATTTTAAAAAATTTTGAAATAATACTGAAATATGTTGTAACATACATTATACTAATTTTAATAACAAAAGATATTTACTTGGCAGCTCGAGCTTGATTTTTCTCTTCAGAACTCATATCTTTTCGTTTCCTTCGCCTAATTTCACCGTCATCAGAATCTGAGCCTCCTTTGCCACTACCGCTTCCAGCACCACCACTACTTGTCTTTTCTTTTGTATTATTTTTTCCATGTTTTTGACAGTATGACTGCAAAAGATACATTTATATTATTAATAACATTTTATCCTCCTTCTACACTTTTAGAGTTTGAGCAAAAAATTCTTCAAAAACAAAACTATTTTTCTTCACTAAGGCTGAATTAAAATGCAAAACATCTACACTGTTTTTAATAACTTTGATGCTAATTGAAAAAGAAACCACAATTACTCATTTATAAAACATACATACATTATATGAGGTCATATAGTACTACTTAATTAAAGTATTAATTAATATTAACTTAATTTTACTCCTGCAATCATTTGTTTATATGTTCATAATTTAAAATCAAATTAACTCAAAATTTTTTATCAATTATACGAGCAGATTTTTTTTGCACGTACGCGCATGTTTTTGTGGATGCGTATATTGTACCCAATTATGTAGACACATATTTTGCATATAGTACGGTAGGTAGCGACATATTGATGGACACAATTCCCGCAAGGTTCGAGAAACATTTTTTCAGTTACTCTGGTGGTATATATAGAGACAATAGCAGCTTTCCATAGCAAGTCCACAACAAGAAGTAATGGATGTACTTTAAATATGTAGTATTTGTAATGTGGAAAAGGAAAATTGACGTCTTCCACTTGTTAAATACAACAAATACCGTTTTCCAAGTGGGTGACAGTGGCACTTGCTAATTAGCGCGCCCAAGCACATTGACGTTTTTACCTGCATATCTTAAACTTCATTAATGTAAATATTTTCGAAATATTAAGTAACAAAGAATATAAGAAATGTTACAGCAATTATAATTTTGTATAAATTTTTATTTAAAAATTTTANTAAAGCCGGATTCTTTGAAAAAAGGGGGAGCGAGCCGTTTGAAATGTTTATCACGTAAAAAGTTGTAAGTATATTCAAACGTATATATATATATATGTATGTATATATCCTGTACATGTTTTTTATTTTTTTAATCATCCGAGGAAACAGAGAAAACTGTCATCAGTTTCTGGATCGTCAGCTTCATCGTAATTCTCATTACAGTCCTCATCATGGTATTAATTATCTTCTCCCTCATCAGGATCTTGATGAGCTGTTAATTTTTCTTCTAAAAAAAACTAATAATACGTATGGGTCCATTAACTTACGATCCTTAACTTAAAAATATTTTTAGTAATATTATTTCTATTTACATAAAAAAAGATAAGCTAGCATAAAGAAGATAAATTAGCATGTTTTAATACGTAAATGTAAAATAATAAATGTAATTTAAATATCTTGAACGTCAAAATAAGATTTTTTATAATTAAAAGTTTTTGTTCATATCGAAATGTAAAAATAATGCGAAATATTCGATTTTTAATGATATTATTTTAAGTAAATATTTAAATAGTACCTTGATTTGTATTCACAGTTGATTCCACAATTATTTTATCTATCCTCAATGGCAATTAAAGTCCATTAAACGATTTGGAAACGTAATTATTTTCGCATTCTTCTCAGCCGTCATCTGTAGGTGGAAATTCCGTTGGTTCGACATGAAAATTCCTACTCTCACTTAATTGATGTCATTAATTTTCTTTGAACCATACAAACGACAAATAAAATTTTGAAGAGTTTCGAAATCCATTGTTGCAATATTATCAGTTTCATTGATGTTTATAAATGCGTTGATGTATTTTTTATTAGTTCTCATCAAATTGAATGGGCGTATTTTGTTTTTTCAATTAATTGCTGGATTGAAATCGCACATTCACGTTACTCCAGACGTAACAAACCGTACCTTTGCAAATTTCCGACACCATTTTTAATCCGTATTTTTATAAGACAGCATTGTATTTATAGCATTGATTATGATTAATGTACACTGTTTTGGGACCAATGAATGGAATCAAGCTGTTTTTTTCCCAGTCTTTTATGAAAAAATGCTTATCATGCTCTGGACATGATTACTTCTCTTCGAGTGTTTTTTCTACTTTTTCGTTTGTAACAACGTATTTATAGAATTGTTCATGATTAATGTACAAGCTTTTAGGGCTGATAAATAGAATTAAACTATTTTTTCCCCACTCTTTCATTAAAAAATTTACTAATTGTGTCTTAAAACTAATATTTTTTAATCCCAAAAAAAAAAAATTAGATGGTCGTCTCTGATCTGGTCCATTGATTGTGAATATGCTATCTTTTTTTGCACCTCTGACTGACGCTCGAGATCTTTTATTGAGGGTGACTTTTATCTGTCGAAAGCAATAAGTACTGTTTTAGTTTGAGTAGACAAGCACAATTTCAACTATTAGGAAATTTCAGCAAACGTTAACGGCACATCTATCATCAAGCCAAAAGGAAAAAACCGTCATAAGTTATAACGTTAGTAGTGCGAGCGTGATCTTCTTTAACGTTTTTTGTAATAACTTCTTTTGAATTGTTTTATCGGTTTGGTACATAGCCCCGTCCACAGGGCATAACAAAAAAGGGACTGGCGTTAAGGATGTATGGTCGTTTTTGAGGAGATTTATTCATTTAATTAAAAAAAAAGTACTTTAACATGCTTGAAGTACACATAAATTTTTCAATATTTTTTACCAGCCGAATCTTCGAGAGAAAAAACTTTTCGAAATCACATTGTCTAATATTGCTCTTATGGGCGAGAGCGATTATTCAGCCTTTGTTACACAAATTTCAAGGCTAGAGATTTATTTATGATGAGCAAAAAGTTCGAATCGACAGCTTAACTGCTGAGGAAGACTCTCGTATCAAAAAATATGCACCTTATAAGGCATTTGGAAAAAATATCAGTGCAAACGTAAACAAAGTCGCAAGCAGGTCTTATGCTAAGTATATGGGAGAGAACCGAGCATCGTCTGCTAGTCTTTCCGCAAGCAGCGAGACGTCTTAAAAAATTGCTTCTGGAATTTGTTCAACTGGAAATCACGATCTAAAACTTGACATAGCTCATCTTGAGACTTCAAGCTATAGTGCTTTGCAAAAAAAAATTTATTTTTCGGAAATTCATAACACACTTTTGTTGATGAAAGTTGAGTTTCCTACTTTTTAGATTATTTTTTATAATGCAAACAACACGTTTTCAAGTTTTTTTACTCAAACTATTGGATACAAGCTGCTTTAAGGTATGTACCATCATTTTTTCATAATATTTAATAGTTTAGTTTTTGAGCACTGACGAGTTAAACCGAGTTAAACACACTTAAATTAACCATGATGCAGTAGGCGGAGGTTTTTATGCATAGTTAGTACAACTCACTTCAATAGGATATCTTACGAAATCCCACGCACACCTACTCACTCCCCGGAAAAAACGACCGAGCCTCATTAAAGGATACGATAGAACGTTCTTTATATCTAACGTATTTTCGAGAGAAATTTGGAAAAGGTGGCCGAATAAATCACGTTGTATGCAGACTTCCTTCACTATGCCAGAAACCTTTTTTTCCTACTGCACTACTAAAATTACAATTTTTTTTTTTTTTTCATCAGTTTCTCAAATTTTTCTTTACTTTCGGCGGCACACTTTGTAAAAAACTTCTGTCTTAATTCGTTTTCGGTTTCCTCGGCACTCAATAAAAATCCGAAGTTTTATCATTTGCTTGCCCTGTGGAAATGTTACACAACACATTTTTTTCTAATTCTCTGTTAAATGGAATAACGTTCACACGGATGTTGTCAATTAATTTTTGAAGCTACGCTGAACTTGATTTAATTTTGCTTGGTTTGAGATCTACGGGTACGTCTTGATATGATTGTAAATCTGCTACGTCTATAATATGACTGACAATTTTTTTGCGAATGCTGTGACTCATACGCCACCTCTATCAAGCTAATGTAAAATTTGCTGTCTGGATAATTCCTGTCAATTTCTTAGAAGCATCAGCGTTTATGGTTTGTTCTAGAGTCAAATCCACTGGTTGTCTTAAGAATGGCTCTTCAGTTCGTTTTAAACTAAAAGAACCACGCTCTAATTGAATACGCAGCCCAGGATAAGAGAGATGAACTTTTAAGACATTACCTTCATATTTTAGTAAGCAGCGAGCATAATTGCGTTGATAGAAAAAAAAAACATACTTATTTTTTCCAATATGAATAACTTATAAATCTACATTAGCTGTTCGGATTGCTGGGTTAAAAAAAAGCAATTAATAATTTTTGCATAAGACAAATAATATTGCGGAGTTTTTCTATGACGACTTTCAAATATTTTGTTTGTATATTTTTTATACTACTTCAATACTTCTAGTCCTCAATGATTAATTGTAGGAACTGCAGCTTGATGTTAAGTAAAGTTTGTCAAGTAATTTGTTATGCTGTTCGATATTTCAATTTTCTCGTCACTACAAAATATCTCGAAGTGTAACATGAGTATAGATAAATATACCAGTGGATGTAATCTCTTGTACCTGTTGAAATGTTTAACTTCAACAAAACCGTTAACAGATCCTATGGCAAACATTTCAGAATTAGTCATATTTGTTAACACATCATCAATAAATTTACCGATTACTTTAAAAGACGCCGTCATAATATGAAATACTCCGAAATGAATAAAATACGATCAAAGCGAGGCACTTTTCTGTAAATGGCAGTTGAAAAGCTACTGTAGCAATTGCGAGATAATAGATCACTTGCATGTTCTTCTCACTGCATTCGTTTACAACTGCAAGACTTTGTCACAACGTTTCCAAAATAACTTAAATGCTGGTGATGCATTGATAGTTGTCATGTAAGAGATTTTTTATTTGCTCGAGTTATCATTTATAAATTAAACTGTTATAACCAACCTACATTGGTGTATTTTTTTAATCGTAAGGCATGAGAAAGTAACCATAAAAAATTAATTTTATGTACACCTTCAAATTTTTACTAACTAGCTGTACACGACGAGTGATCCAGAGGTTGCAAAGTTTCTAGAAACCGCGGTTTTTTTTGCGTAGGCTTTAAATTTCATGATTATAACATAGTACGTTCGCCTTCGTTTTTTAGATGTAACTGAAGTGGAGGGTTCAATGTCTATTTTAATATTG